GGCGCAGCAGTGCCACTTCCGGGCAACAGATGGCGCGCAATTGTCTACCTGCTTATCCTTATTTTAGGCCAATTTGCCGCCCTGTCTCCCTCTCTCTCTCTCTCTCTTTTTATGACTTGAACAGAGCCAAGCAGGCAAAAAGACTTTGAAATGGCGTTTTGTGCACAGAGCTTTGCGGGAAAATTCAATTTAAAACCAGCCACAACAAAGCAGCAGCAACAACAACGGCAACTGCAATAAATTGTTTCATTCGCGCACCTGACACATAAGCTCCGAATTGTCGTCTTCATCTGCAGTCGCGACCGTTCGACGGGATCGCATCGGATCGCATCGGCCAAGGTACAGGCAATAATAATAATAACAACAACAACAACAACAGCAGCAGCAGCAGCAGCATTGGCTTGTACATGGGATTGAACATCTGGTTGGTGACTTGCTGTGCGCTGTGCTGTTGGCCACGCACAGTGGTGCACAGCCCTTGCAATTAGGCCCGAAAACATATGCATGCGCCAGCCAGCAAATTATTCTGATGAGGGCGCGGCAGGCTGCTTCTGGCTATAATCGTTACGACCTCAGCGCTTACACTTGCCTAAGCTGGCTTCATTTACCCACTCAATTCGTGTCACAAATTGGCAGTTCGTGCGTTTGCCAACTTAAGAGCTTGCGAATGTTCATCAAAAATTCAAATAATAATAATTATAATACAAAAATAATAATAACAATTCCGAATATGTTTATTTAAATTGGAAAATGTCGCAGTTGCAGCTGAATTGAATAAGTTTGTTCTTAGAGTGTTTCAAGACTTTCAAATAGAAACAAAAACTTCATTCATGCATTTTAGCAGCTATCTTTGAGTTGACTTATATGAGTTGATAAGCTTAATTAATATTTTTAATAGTGCACAGTGTGTGCAGCTTGCGCTTATAACTATTTCAGGCACCTTTCACTTCAAACAACAACAAATGCTGATTGCTCTTTGCCTTTGAGGCTCGGCAGATTCTATTTGTGGACCGTTTTCTATCACACGCTCATAAAATATACGAAATCATATTCAAAATGTCAATTTAAGGAGTTTTTTTTTATGTGCAATCGTATACTTAATATGGAATGCGTATACTTAATATAATTAAGCAAAAATCTGATTTCCAAATAGTTCAAACTGAAATTTCATAGATAAAATATTTTTATTCTTCTCTTTCTCCTTTCTCTTCTCTTTATCCTTCTTCTTCTTAACACTTAACTCTTTTTTTCTGCTTCTACTTCTTCTATTTCCTTATCTCCTTCTTCTTCGTCTTCACATTTTTCTTCTACTTCTTCCACCAGTTCTCCTCTTACTTCTTCTTTTTCTGTCAATTCTTCTTCAACTTATCCTACTTCTTCTTCTGTTTCTTCTCTTTCTTTTTCCTCTTTATCATCTTCTTCTTTACTCTTTAAACATATTCCTTTTATGTCCACTTCCTTAACAAACTTTGCCGAAATTCTGCACCGTTTTCGTGTTCTCATACCACTGTGCAGTGGCAACGGCGGCGACACTGCAATTATTGCAAAGGCAACGGATTATGAGAGCTGGCGCTGAGCAGCGGCAACGACCACGACGACGACGACGACATGTCGGCATGTGAATGTTCGTCCCCAGCAAGAGCGGGCGGGCAGGAGGAAGCAAAAGGGACTGTGAAACTGCAGAGCGTGCATAACGATTATTGTCCTGGGTGAGGACGAAGGCGAGGGCAACGGATAATACAGCAGATATCGCTTACAGCCAGGCAAAAGCCAATATCGAGTGCTCTCTCTTCCCCTTTCTTCCTCTCTGTTGCTGGAACCGGAATTGCTTTCCACCTCATTATAACTCAACTGCTAATTCATGACGAAATATGTTAATTAATAGGCACAGGCAGAAGAGGCAATGCAGTTGACCGAAGCAACTGCAACTGCAACGTGCAACAGAACCGAGATCAGCCCAAAGGTAACTTTGAGTAACTGGAGAAAACTATATGAAGGTGTTGTAAGAGTCCTAGAAGTAAAAGGAGAGGGAGAGGGAGAGGGACAAGGAGAAAGAGTAGGAGAAGGAGAAAGAGAAGAAAGAGAAAGAGAAAGAGAAAGAGAAAGAGAACGAGAAAGAGAAAGAGAAAGAGAAAGAGAAAGAGAAAGAGAAAGAGAAAGAGAAAGAGAAAGAGAAGAAGAGAAAGAGAAAGAGAAAGAGAAAGAGAAAGAGAAAGAGAAGGAGAAAGAACTAAAGGAAACGGAACTATTATGAAATTCCTTAAGATTTTCAATCTCTTTGAAAACAATTAGCCATAAAAACTGTAGATATATATATATAGATATATATATATATATATATATATATATATATATATATATATATATATATATTTGGGAATTATTTAGAAATAATATCGACTCTATATACGCATAAATAAATCCATCCGCAAACTTTTATAATGTATCTTAAAAGTAGCGATGATAAGCTTTGATAAATGGAAAGAATTAATTCATAAAATATATATAAAAACTATAGAACAACCAAATATTAAATAGTAATAATGATAAAGCTGACAATCCCCATTTACAGAAAACTCATAAAAGAGACTCGAGAGCTTTAGCAAAGAAAATAAAAATTGTCATTTTTGGGAAGGTTGTTTTCAATAATATATTAATATATATAAGTCATAATATATATAATTATATATATAGATGTATGCATATATAGGTAAATGCATAGCTAATAGACTGGAAAACGTGTTTGCTGCTCAGGCCGCTAGATGGCGGCACTATAATAAATGATTTATCTGCAATTTGTCAATATTTATTTTTTTTGTGGCCACAACTCTGCGGCGGCGACAAAACAAACTCTATTGTCAAAGCAGCTGTTGTTGTTGTAGTTGCTGCTGGCTGCTGGCTGCTGGCTGCAGCTGCAGGTGCATTGAGGCATTGGTGGGCCCTGAAGTTGGCGTCAAGCGTCAACGCCTGAGCGACAATTATTGCTGGCAATCAAGCATAGGCAAATCACCGACTGCCAGCAGCCGTAACGAGGGATAGTCCGAGTGAGAGAGGAAGAGAGAAGGTGAGAATGAGAGTCAGCGAGAGCGAGCGACAGAGAGAGAGAGAGAGGGACTGCAGCAAAGTCAGTTTTTTGTTAACACTTGAGCAGAAGCTGTGTCTGCGAGTGTGTCTTATGCAGTTGCAGCATGAATATATGTATCTTAATACTATATATATATATATATATATATATGTATATATATATATATATATATATATATATATATATATAAATATATATATGCATTTGTTTAACTAAGAACAGCAAATAATAAAAAATAAAGTCAACTGCCTGTTCTGTTCTATAGCTAATTATAAGCATGGTGTAAATTTACAATGCCCATGTTTACAGCTCACGAACAGGCGATTATATATGTCTTTATACATATATATATATATATAAATATAAATGTGTGTAGGCATACCTATGCCAATTGCCCATCTCTTTCCATCTTTCGCCTTTTCACTATTTAGAGCTGTGCGATTTGACAAAAGGCAAAGAGCGCGCGCGATGTTAGTGTAAATATTAAGACAACTGGCAAATATCGAAATTCCTGACAGCCCACACACACACATAAACACACATACACACATACTGCCTAACATTTGCTTAGTCTAAATTTCATTATGTCCAGAGCAGCTGGCCAAAAGTGCTTAAAGAAACTTAATTTTCAGGCATAAAAAAACAAACTGAAATTACTGAATTTTTTCTAATTTTGGCATTGCTTAAGGTGAATCTTAATTCTCCGCAAATTTCTAAGTATTTGCCCAAGCAAATCTAGTTTGAGCCGTACTTAGTAGATAAACAGTTTCAGCCTCATTGAGTGACTCTAGTAGGGAGTGCTCAGCTAGAAGATGCCCTCACAAAGCAGCGCTAATATTTCAAACTTTTCATATATACATAGAGACATACATATGAATATGTATATATACATATACATATATATGTAAATATAACAATATATATAACAATATATATAATATAGGCAAGTATATTCAACTATTTGAAATGAGTTCTTCTATCAAATTTTAGGTAGTTGGGACAGCTTGTTGGGGTAGAGGTATATGTTATCTTTAATATATAACATAAAAATATAATATATATATATATTATATATAATATAATATATATATATATACATATATATATATATATATAATAATATATATATATATAAGAAATTGCAATTTATGCACTCTATATATGATAACTCTCTACTTAGTTATTGACATTTAGAGATATTATAAAAGTAAGATAAAGTTTCGCAATATATAAGAATAATTTTGATGTATAATTTGTATTAAGAGCGTTATCAAAATTCTAGGCCATAGCTTAACCAGTCTACAGACTGACAGGAATATTACTTCCTTATCAGTTTTTGCTTGGGTCCAGCTTAACTCTGAAATCTTTGATATGAAAGATAGATCTGTCAAACGGGAGATGAAAGATTACAGCTGGACACGCCTTAAGAGCAATGGGCTCAGTCACGCCTACCAGATTGAATAAGCTCAGAATATGAGCAAGGCTTAATATATAATAATCTAAATATGAATCTAATATATACTATATACCACTTCTGGGCTGCATAAGAGCTGGAAATCTCCATATAAAATGATTTTGATTGACTTTAAAATAAAATAGAAATATATAAAATATATAAAATAGATATATATATATATATATATATATATATATATATATATATATATATACATAAGCTTGAATATGTAAGATAGAGAGAGAGACAGAGGGAGTGAGAGCGAGAGAGCTAAGCAAGTCTTTATCAAGCATACGCCAAGTGTCACAAGCGTCGATCAAAATCGATACAAATCTCTAGAAATCTCTATAAACCTAGAAAAAATCCCCACAAAACTGTATAGAGAGAGTACATATATCACATTTGCCAAATCACGCTAGATAGTTTCGCATTATCTCTAGATAGACACAAAAAACTTACCTGAATTTGAGTTTGTTTTGCTTTGTTGTTTTTTTGTGTGCTTTTGTTAGCTCCTTTTTTAGTTAATACTCTTAGAATTGTAGTTGTTGTTGTAGTTGTTGGTGGTGGAGTTGAAGTTGTTGTTAGAGTTGTTTGCTGTTTGTGTTTTCGTTGTTGTTGGTTTGATCAATTTGCTTGATGTGTTTGTTAAGTTAGTTAACTCGTTTAGTTGTTGAACATCGTTACACACTCACACTCACACTCACACACACACACATATGTATATGCCAAACACACGCGCACACAGCTGGGCATATGTATGTGTGCGATTCTTGTTGTTGTTGTTGTTGCAAATGTTGAGCATTTTTTTGTTAGCTGCTTCTTCTTCTGCTTCTTCTTCTGCTTCTTCTTCTATATTTTAACTATTATTAGGCGTTTGTTTTTGTTTTGTTTTTGTTTAATACTTTGTTGTCAGCTCTTCTTCTTCTTTGTTGTTGTTGTTAGCACCTTTTGTTGTTGTTGTTGAGTTGTTGCTGTTAAAATTCTGATCACATCATAATTATAATTATAATTGTAATTATAATTATGTTTTATGTTTGTGTTTATGATAATGTGCTTGTTGTTTGTTGTTGTTGGTTAACTGTAAAGTGAATGTTGTTATTTTATTATTATTAGAATTTTACTTGGTGTGCCAAAACAAGTTCAAATCTTAAGTTCTTTTTTGTTAAGCACAGCTGCACCCACACATACACACACACACACACACACACACATGTATAACACTTGAACAAAATGTTTTGTTGCATATTTGGGTTAAAGAAAATGTTTGCTTCATTTATTTGATTTGTTATTTTTTATATTAATTTGTATTATTATTATTATTATTGCTATTGTTGTTGTTGCTGTGTGCTTGTCCGTCCGCGTGCAATTTTTTTGTGCGACAGGCAGAAGCAGCAGCGCCGCCGCTTTTGAAAACGGTTATAAAATCGCACGACACAAAATTTGCTGCGGCAACGACAACGGCAACGGCGACGACGACGACGACGACGGCTGCTTCTGCTGCGGCTGCTGTCGTTGTCGTTGCCGTTGTCGCTGCTGTTGTCGCCATTTTTGCTTGGCAAAACTTTTGTGCACTTTGCACTCGCTCTCGTACACACACACACACACACGTGTATGCATATATATATATATATGCAACTAATGCGCTCTCGCTCACGCACACACACACATGCACACGGCGAGAGAGGACAACGACAACGACACAAATAACAAACACACTCACACACACACACAGTCACCCGCACCCGACGCCAACGACGACGACGACGACACACACAATCAAAAACTCATTCGGCTACTTGGGTGCACACGCCTCCTCGTGCTGCCATCCCTCGGCCCTAAAGCACGCTCGGCCACCAGGCAGACCATTTCTATGTGCCACACCCCTACGCCCTTTGCATGGACTCTAATAAAAAGCCAGCCAGCCGCAGCAGCAGCAGCAGCAGCAAGCCGAAAGCCAATAAAAACAAAAAACAAACTCGACAAAAAAAAATCAACGAGAAAAAAACGTGCCGAGACGAAGGTTTTGCGACAATATGCGACGACGTTGACGCTGGCAGCGCTGCTTGCGTTTGCCTTCGACCAATGACACTCGACGACAATATTAAAGAACACGCACACACACGCACACACATACACACACATAAAGAGCTACGCACACAGCGGCAGAATGTATATACGAAACATGCAAAAAGCGAATCTCAAAAAACGAAATGTCGTCGTCGTTGTGCGGCTGGAATGGGGGCGAACTGAGCTGCAGATGCTGAGGGACAGCAAAGTATGTATTAAAAAAAAAAGAAGAAAAATTACGCAGCCACACAGAGTACCTCAAGGCAGGCGACAGCAGAGACGACGTCGACGACGACGACAACGACAACGACAACGACTATGTAATCCAATCGAATCGAGAACAAACACACACACACGCACGCACACAGCAGAATGAGAGGGGGAGGTAGAATAAAAAACGAACGCAATTGAAACGCCGAAACCAATCCAGAGGACGCACAAAATGACGAAGCAGAAGAGCAAAAGGCGACGGCAGCAGCAGCAGCAGCAGAAGCAGCGACAAGCGACAAACGACGCGCGACACTTGTGTATATATTTGTGTGACTGTGTGTGTTTGTGTGTGTGTGTGTGTCTGCTTGTGCTTGTATTTATGTGCGAGTGGGAGCGAGAGCATGGCAATTGGAATGCAAGCCAAAAGCAAGCAGTGTAGGAATAGGAGTAACTGTCGAGTAGGTGGTGCAGGACAGCACCAGCAGCTGAACGGAGCAGAGCGAGAACGTTGTCGTCAAACGACGAGCGCGACCCCTACAACAACAGTTAGCTCTGCCAGCCAGCCAGTGGCGACAATTGAGGGTAGTCATTTTTTTATGCTCGTCCAGTATATAGCCAGTCAAGGACTATATACAGTGTATATATCTGTGTGTGTGTGTGTGTGGGCGGAGGGTGTATATGTGTGTGTATTAGGGGCAGTTTTTATGGTTTGTCCAAGTTTCACTTGCAGCACATTTTGTGCATTTGCATTTCGCATTTATCACACAGTTTCCTTATTTCTTGTTTCTCTTTTTATCTTTGCACATCAAAAACAAAAACACAAAAAAAAATATTTTTCATTTTTTGCTGCAAATGCAATCAACTTAAACTGTAAATTCTCGTTGATTAGGCACAGTAAAAAATAAAATTAAAAAAAAAAATAAAACAATTTAATAAATAATTTAAATAAATGCTGGAAAACGAACGTGGAAATGTTTTGTATTTTATATTTAAATTTTATTTAAATCTTTTTTCGATTTTCAATTTTTGATTTTCGTTTTTATTTTTTTTGCAGTTGTTCTGCGCTTTGCCGTTTTAGCGACGGCAAAACAAGACGCGCGCGCGCAACAGCAGCAACAACAACAAAACAGAAACAGAACGCAACGCAACGCAACGCAACGGAATACAACAGAACAGAACAGAACAGAACAGAACACAACACAACGTACAGAGGAAACGTACACAACAAAACGACAACGAGGAGCGTCAACGACAGCGACAACGACAACGACAACGGCAACGGCAGCGACAGCGACGGTGGCAGTGGCAGTGGCAGTGGCAAAGTCGGCAGCGCAGCCAATGCCGGTGGGGGCGACAGTGCAGCCACAGCCACCACAGCTACAGCTACAGCTACGGCGACGATAAAATATCGGTAAGCAGTTCAGTTCAGTTCAGACAAGAGAGACTATGACTACGACGACAACGACGACAGCGGCGACGGCGACGGCGGCGACGACGACGACGACGACGGCGACGATTGCGATGCGATTGCGATGGCGATGCGGCAGCGGCAACTCAACTTTACTATTTGAAATCACATCCAACGCACGTCGCCGTCGCGGTTGCTGCTGCTGGCTGCTGGCTGCTGCTGACGCTGACGCTGCTGCTGTCGCTGTCGTCGTCGTCGTCGCATGGGCCTGGGCAGTGTTTGGCGCTCGTGCTTGGACTCGGAGACCGAGACCCACCTAGCGGCGAGAAAAGACAGCATAAATACACACACACATGTGATTACACAAACACAAGCACTCCGACTCTCTCTCATACAGTTCGCCGCATGCATAAGCTGAACGGCCACTGGTGGCGACCAGCACACACAAACACACACTGATGCATAAATACATATACTGGCGCCGCAAGTGTCCATTCGCTTCTGTGCGTATTGTATTGCTTGCTCCCTCACTCTCGCTCATGCCCAGCCCATAAGCAGCAAACACACACACACATGCATACATAGAGAGCAAAACGAGAAAAAACACATTGGTATTGAATGGCAGAGAGAGAGCGAGCGACAAGCAAGCAGTCCAAAATTGAATTCAAACGTTTGTTTCCCACGTTCACTCTTAAGAGCGAGATGTGCGCTCTTTAATGTTAATTTTCACTCTCTGCGCTATGCTGTGCACCCTACAATTCAGCCAGCCGTGAATTACGATAAATAAGCAATAGCAATGAAAGAGTTATTAATATTCATACATATGTATTATAAATATACATATATATATATACAAATATACATATATATATATATGTGAAATAATTAATTGTATTATTTAGTTTTTTCCCATTTTCTTCTATTTGTTTTATTATTTCTAAGCAGCAAATTTTTTGCTGTCGTAGCGCATTCATAGATCATGCTGGCCACATTCACTGTCCAACTCGTTGTGGGCGCTGGGCATGGCTCGAATCAAGTGTGCACTAATGAAATAATTAATTACGAGCACAAGCACAAAATTCAGCCGCTGCTCAATCTACAAATACGCACACAAACATATAGTGAGAGATGGATCTATATAAATTTAACATATATTTACTTGTGTATGTGTGTAACTCGATTTGTGTACTGCTGCTTGCTGGACATCTTAGCTTTAAGTGTATCTCTCTGTGTGTGTGTAAGTATATCTATTTGTGGGTGTGTGTGTCTGTGTGGATGGGGTGTCGCCTTTTTGGTGCAGTCGAAAAAGCGAACACAACAAATCAAATCAAATTTAATTAAACCACTTTAAGCGATTTCTTAGCCACAAAATTCTACTTCGACACAAATATATCTATGTGTGTATGTATGTATGTATGTATGTATGTATGTATATGCAGTTATTTCTATATGTGTATACATTATGTTCAAATTGAAATTGTTTCAATTTGATATCGAATGCCGTCGGCATATTTGATTGATACTCGATTAAAACTAATAAATAAAATAAAATATAATGAAAACTTAGTAAATATTTAAATTATAAAAACAAAAATATATAATTTATAAATAGTTATTATAAAAAGATACAATACAAATATGTATCAAATATTTTAAATTTAAAAATAAATATTTATTATTTATTATATTTTAAAATTAAAAAAATAAAAAATACTTTGAAACAATTAAATTTATCAACAAAACTATTTTAACAGAATTCGAAATAGTTTGTTATTCTCAGCATTTCGTTTATTTAAATTACTTTCGTTTTA